ATGAGGCAGGCATGCTGTTATAATAAACATGAATTAAGAGCGTCGTTTTGCGGATCAAGTTGGCGTCAAAATAGCTAAACCTGCCTCAAAACATGACAGAATGATTTTGTATCCAAATTTGCCTAATTTTCTCTACAAAATTGAAGGGACTGCCTCCCCCATCCCCAATTGAAGAGGAAACTGCACCCCTGACATGTTGCACTCAGTTGTATGTTGTTCTTTGATCGTCGTACACAGGCGGCACACACGGGCCTACATGGATCCCAGCTGCACCCACCTGACCGTCCGAGCCGCGCGTCGTCCAGCACCATCCTGGCGCGCCGGCCGTCACCCGGTCGTCATGCTAAGGCACCAGCGAACGACCGTCCAGGCTCCGGGCGGCCTCGGGCGTCCGCCAGGTCGGCACGCCACGCAGCACCGATCGAAGAGCTCTCCGAATTGGACGGGGCCTGCCGCGCCCCTAAGGGCCGAAGAGGCGTTCCCCGCGCCCCTGCCGGCGGCAGGGTCACCGGCCACGCCCTCGGGGCTCTGATTCAGAAGGCGCGTCGCCTGTCCGACGACGGCTGAAGCGGAGCTCCTGCTCGGCCTCTCCGTTCGGCTCGGCCGCCCTGCACTGGCCCGCGCCACGCGAGCACGTGGCCGGCGGTGGTGACGGCGCAGGCTCGTCGCCCGCCAGATCAATAGGGCCGGGATCGCTGCCGCACCTCAAACAGACCCACCGCCGACGGAGGTGGAGGAAGAGGGTGGGGGTCACGCAAGCGCCAGTCCGTTTATAGTGGACGGGGTCAAGGCCGACGGCGGAGGTGATGTCTTCTGGAAACTCGGGGAGGTGGGACGTGGGTGTACTGCTGCCAAGAGTCAAGAGTCAGATCTTCATTCCAGTGTCGGTGATACTAAAATGTGGAATACCAGGCTGCGTAGCGCACCCACGTTTCTCTTCGCGCATTCCGACGTGTCGCTGGTGCTCCAGTCTCGATTCGGACTTGAATACGCAGATCTAAAGGACAGAATCCAAGCTCGAGAAAGCAAGCGCGATGTCCTGTGCCCATCAGCGTATGGCTCACTGGCTGCTTGTACATAATTCTGATTTATCATCGACCAAGTGGCGTTCTACGCTCTCACATCAGCCTTGCGGTAGCCTATTGTCGCATTGGCGTGACCTTGATTCCAAATCGCTGACAAGTGTCAGTGACACCATGCCCGCATCTCTGGCATGTTTTTTGTTCGCTCCAAGCGAGTACTGTGAAAAGACTTCAACCGGTGTTCCCTCGAGGAAATCGGCTATGGGGCACGGGAACGATCATGTTTAGGGACACCAGCCAGGGGCACAACTAGAATATCCCCGAGGGGAGGGGAAGCGAGCATTAGTGGGAACCCAGCGTGCTAACTTTAAATTTTTGCCAGTAGCCAGCTATGACTAAGAATAATGCAAGCTTAAAGGAAACGAAGAGAGGGGGGGGGGGGGGGGGCTTGACTCCACCTGTTGGTCAAACGGATGCTTCTGGCAGCCATGCAGTCACCTTCTGGTCGAAGTTCCGCTCGTGTGCTACGCTTAACAAGTATTTCAGAAATTACTTCAGAGTGGTGCACATTCGATATTTAAGCAGATGTACTTCGCGTTTGCCTTTTGTCATTAGTCGTCGTCTTTGCCGTACTCCTGAACGCTAGATACAGTTTCCAGTGCTTAATTACGCAGATGGCATTTGTTCTCCTACTGGGCGAAGGCGTCTTTGGAGCGTCATTTGTGAATGCTCACCTACGTAGGAGCAGTCATGAAACCGAGAACAAAAAATGCGAACGCAAAATCTCCGAAGCACACGGAGTCCCTTTTCGGGAACGTTTAAATATTCAAGAAGTGTGCAATGGTAGTCGAGGAGCAATGGTCACTGCCTTGTGATTTCATACGGGGTTAGCGGGATTAATTATTGGTGGGCATTGTCTCTCGCCCTATAACACCAAACAAGGTAAGAATCTCCCAGGCCGTCCACGGTCTTCTCGCAAAGGTCAGCTTTGAAGTCTTGCAGATGGTTTTAGGACACAAGTTCGGAAGGAAAAGCACACATCTGGGGGCATGACTTTTTTAAATCGGTTGGGGGCTCTGCCGATATGATTGCCCTAACGTAAACCTGATTTTCTCCGGATGTTAGCCGCTTATCTTGAGTTGCTTAAGTTAGGATACGAGTTTTTGTGAACGTGAAAAATTGTAGCCATAAAAGACTGTTTTACGTAAGAGGGACTTGCCATCTTAAGATAATGCCACGCTGCAGCTTTATAACAAACTTATGATCAGATGTAATTCACAGAAAATATCTCATTAAGGTGGTCTGACATTAGCACCGGAAATGGGACTAGCGTGATAGTGCACAGAAGATGGCGCAAAGCAGAAACGACAGTTTTATGTTGAATGACATGACCTGACGGGTGCAGACTAGCCGTACCTTGGTGGCCAGTTGAATACCTTTCACTTGGATGGGGGTCAATTTGACCCAACTGAGATCTCAGAAACTGAGAGAACTAGAGACACCAACTTGTGTCAAAATTTGAGGTTCCTATGTTATGACCTTCGGGTCCAACAAGGTCAAACTCTAGATTGGTGTCCAAAGTGCCCAGACCTTCTCATGTAACCACTGTGAACCTAGATACCTGTTCTGGGCAAAACGTCACTGGTGCTCTGTAAGGTCAGTGACTTTGTTTAACCTTTATGATCTGTAGAAAGTCCATGGAAGATGCATGAGGTGAATCCTGCAATCAATAAATGCATAATGAGCACCAGCGACTACCCCCATAGAGCAAGCTACAGAGTAAAAAACACGTTGGTTTTGACCTTGGTCTTACTTTCATACATAACCCTAGGTTGCTGAAATGTGTCAATTGAATTGTTGTGTTGGCTGAGAGACTATCTCAGAGATGTATGGCTTTATCTAGCACTCCGTTGTTACATAAGATTGAACGATTCCCCTAGAAATTGTTTTCGCTGAAGCCATACCTGTCTTTGACCTGCTTTAAGCCAGCAACCTTACAAGGTGCACTCAAATTTTGGACACCAAGAGGTTTGCTATTCAGCCGCCTAAAGCTACGTAATATTAACGCGTAGCTGATATCGTCTTGCTTTATGCATAGCTGATATTGATTGAGATATTGTAAGAGAGCAAACTGAAAGGCGGCGTTCGTGACCGGTTCTGTAAACGCAGTAGAAGCCCACGATTACAGGGCGCGTACATACCATTTGATAAACACATGGTAGCTTGATATGCGGCAATGGAATACGGTGCAATAAATAAAGACTTGAAGTAAGAAGCTAAGGTACAGCCAAAGACCGGGTGGACCTCCGGATTTTAAGAATATTGTCCAGTCGCGATCTTCCCCCGTGGTGGAACATACCGCGCGTTGTGACTTTGGTGATCTACCCTTTTGTTTTTGAGCGGCTTGGCATGCTTTTTGAGTAACGTCGTCTAGTAAGATGCGTGTAGAAAAACTTTCTACTCGTCGTGGCAAACACCGACATCCGCCGGGCAGGTTCTTTTCATAGTTTTTCTCAGCATTTTTCTCGGCATCGACACCGCACACCGTGAACCGAGACGGGAAGCCGAAACCGAAACCACGGTGCCGCATATCTTTGGTCCGATTCAGGTGTCATCTCGTGAGAAATCTGCCAATACCTGCCTTCTTGCACACTTGCCTAACGAATAAGGCAATTTGAACGACGCACATTAACACACGCACAGGGTACTATGTGCTACAAAATAAGCATGACAAACTAGTAATGGTTTGAGGCATTTAGTGTACCGGCATTTCAGGGAGGGTGTCTGCATTTCCTTCGTCCAGCCGTATTCATTTCCCCCACATTCATTAAGGGCGGGGGGGGGGGGGTCGCTGGGCTCGGCTGAAGAGCTAGGTCATTCATGATAACTGACTTGACCTTTGTGACAGTAGCTTTCCACCGTCATCCCCAGCCAGGTTCTACCGCCCACCCACATCCCTCCGCGGATGTGGCGGCTCCGCAGCGGCAGCTCATCCGAGACCCGACTCCAAGGATGGGACCTACACTGGAACGTAAATGGCACATCCACATAGGAACTTTTGCGCATCGGCTGTTCATAAACAAACTTGGTCCCAGACGAAGATTACTGTGTGGACGTTGCGTACTCATACTATGCATCCGTACGCGAACTTTTGGGTGTGTACTTTTGTCTCACGAACGTAATCCTCGACGAGCATTTGCACCAACTTCGAGAACGAACATACTTCAATTTCACAGACTTAGGTCTTGAAGAGCATTTGCGTGCGACCCTCCCTACACGAGCTTTTGCATATGAAAACATTTTGCTTACAGACTTTTTCCCGACGAAATATTTTAGCATACACTTTTTTACATTACAAACCTTACCCAGACGAACACCAGGCGCACGGCCTACATCCTGCGAATAGTTGTCCCACGTAGCATTTCTACACAGTACATTCTTCCGCAACCCCTTGCCGATGGCTAGTGAACACTTCCGGGAGCGTGCCGCATCAACCAGCAGCGCCATCTATACCCGACTACGAGACAGGGCCCAGCGGGCGATCTCTGGCTGGTGATGTGCGCACGGGGCCACGGATCAGCTCACCCGACAGGCGCCCAGCACACAGCAGGGCTTTAGAGAACACGGGCGCATCAACGTCAAAGGTGTCTCCCAAGAATTTGCTCATCTAAAAATTCAGCTCTCAAACTTGAGACAAATATTGACGCGTTGTCGACAGTCATGTAACCAAAGGGACGAATTAAGTTGGGTGGCGTCATTACTGCATAACCGCCGCTCACTTACTAAGCGAGATCCAGCAAACGTGTCCCGTATCTGTACGTCTGTCAGTGACTCCAGGATGATCTGAACGTTTAACACTGCATCATGAATCTCATGAGACAACGCCACGGCCATTCGGCGAAAGGAATGCCATTTCATTCCATTCAGACATGCTCTGCTTTTTTGAAAGATGCTAACTGCAAATGAGCCGACGCCGTACTTGTTTACATTATATTGATGACAGATGATGCATACAAACTCATAGGACCATGATGCCGGCGTGCAGAGAACCAACGATCCCTGCTGCTGCCTGCATGCTTCGGAGATGAACACTTCCCACCAGAGGCGGCGCCAGCTGGGCACAGCTTGCCAAGCTGTCACACGAGTATGCCATGCCCTGAACCAGCGTCCAGTCCGGCAAACAACCACCTCGACTACTGTCGCTATTGAGCACCCTGAGCACGTGACCCGGCACGGTGGCGATGCCGGGGCCAGCCGGCACGTCGAGGTGCACTCGGCTTCGGGGACTGTTTCATCAGCGAGATCCCACCGCGCGGTGACCGCGCCGTGCCGCCAGGTCACCTGGTCTCCGCAGGCGGCGCTGACCCCGGAGGCAGCGATGGCGATCGTGACACCAGGGTGACCGGAGGTCATCACACAGGCCGCCGTTACCGACGCCAGTCCGCCGCGTCTCACCGGCGGCGGGCCGCAGCGTAGCCCCGCCTCAGTGGCCATCGCCGCGCCCTCACAGCCCCGTCTCAGCTGGCAGGCCGGTCATCACTCGCACCCTCGCAGCTCCGCCGCAGTCACCGACCCAGCTCACGGCGTACGCCACGCCGGCCTCGGCGCGCGCGCCCGCGTCCGGAGAACAGCGGACGCTCAGGACTTGCAGTCCTCGTGGTAGGGCTGCAGCGACTTGAAGTCGCGCCACGTGGGCGGCATGGCGTTCTGCAGGCGGCTGCCGCACTTGACGCAAGGCGCCGAGAATAGGTTCACGTAGCTGTGGATCCAGGTCAAGTACGAACGCGCTGAGAACTCGGGGTGCAGCGGGCCGTAGTAGTGCACCATGGCGGCCTGCGCGTTCTCAGACACCTTGCGGAAGACGTGGTAGTCGGAGGGCGTCCAGAGGTCGACGCGGCCGTCCTCGGTGGACATGGGCTCGTCGTAGCCGCGGATCATCACCCACTCGATGAGCAGGCCTTTGAAGGTGATGACGGCCTGCAGGACGCGGTCGAGCGTGACCTGCACGACGGCCGAGTTGGCACCGCAAGGCCGGCTGATCAGCAGCCCCATGTCCATGAAGCTCCGCCCGATCGTGTTCAAGATGGCGTCCACGTGCTGCTGCGGCTGGCAGTGGCTCGTCTGCATCTGTAGCCGCCGCTTCTTCACCACCAGGTTCTGCGAGCGCTTGACGCCGTTCTGCGACCACACGGGGCTGGCAAACGAGGCATAGTCCCGCACCTTCTCCGTCCACTTGTAGCTGTCGAGCAGATGGCCATACAGCAGCTGCATGTCCTGCGTCGGGTCATGACTCAGCTGGCCCGTGTTGCCCAACTGAAAAGTGTTGGGTGGCATAGACAGCACATTAACACCCTCCTCCACGTCATGCAGCTTGCGGGTCACCACGTTCAGTGTCTCCTTCAGGCCGACCACGTACTGCTTGCGTTGGGCGTCGTCATCGCATGGTTCAGCATTGCCCTCAGCCAGGTAGCGGAAAACATCGCATACGCTGGTGCGCAGTTGCTGCACGCAGCCCAGTGCCTTGGACAGTGACTCAATTGTCTTCTCCGCCATGGTGGTGCCACCTGAACCAGCAGAAAGCCAATGGTGATTTATGTACATCTGGATACATGCTCAGAATGGTGCCTGATGAAAAAACAGGACTGCAGACATGTGGAAAATGCTGCTGTCATATCAGGCTTCTGTTGCTGCTACATCAATAACCAATTGGAAAAATTAGGATGTCATCAAAGGCTTAACCCAAGTAACCCCATATATTGGAGGGGTACACAGTACATGAAGGGGACACAGGGACACATGGTACAAAGGGATATAAGGTACAGGAGGTACAAAGGGGTACGTGTGATGGCGAAGAAGGGAGGGGTAATTGGATAGAGTGTAACAGAACCACAGCAAGAGAGAAAGAATGTGGGAGGTTTTAGACCTCTCAACATAATGCGTCAGAAACATGTTAAAACTTAAGAAGCAAATAAATTAGATCAAGCCAAATGTTCCTTGCTTTCTGATATTACAAGGAATATGGCACCATTTGTTCTGCATCCCTAGCCCAATCAGGGGTTACATATATTACTCTCCAGAAATGTAATGCCCAACATAGAACAAACAGGGTTTGGGGAGATTTGCCACAGCTTAAACAATGCATAACCATAAACCACAGGGAAGAGGGTGTTGAAAATGACCAAAATGTATATTGTCATTTAGGGCTATCCTCAGAGCTGCATGGAATCCACAGCCTTTGTTTCCACAGCAATTTTTAACATGGTCAGCACTGCAGTGTGGAGGATTTCTACTGTGTCTTCAAGGATGTATGCCCCTTGAAGCATTCAGAACCATACACTACCTATGATCATAAAAGGTTGGATAAGTGGACACAAATTGAGCACCTGACACAAAAAGAACGACCTTCAGCTTCTGGTTTTCGGCACTACCAAATTATTGTAAATTCAATATTTCTAACAAAAAAACATCTTAAACAAAATTTTGACTTAGCACACTAGGCATCGTCAACATTTCAGGCTCGCTTTGAAAAACCCATTGCACATCATGTGAACTGTTAAAGACATGAAACACCACAAGTTTTCATAAAGTAGGGACGTAAAAGAGACATCTCATGATCCTACCTCCAAAATCAAATAACTAGGACCACAACGACTGGGGCCGGTCTGTGATGTACCGATCGCTCGATACCGGCGCATCAAGGCCATCCCGACGGATCAAAGACCCTAAAATGCGGCCACGGTCACAGTTACGCACCAATATGGTCACAAGTGCGGTCGAAGTCTTACTTAGCGTTATATGCAATATCTACAGCCAACAAAACGCAAAAAATCGATATAAAAGTATAATTTGGACAGTAAAGGTAGATATGCGCGCGAATGACGTTTACGTTGGCCAGTTTCGAGTCGACCGAGCGAGAGAGGCGGCATTACAAGCTATTTCAAGTTCAGGCAGCCATTATTGGAATTTATCATACATCGTTCCGCTATCGTTCATTCCTGCCACTGGCTGTCCTATTTGGGTTTTCAGAAACCCGACCGGAAGGAGATTAAAGCACATTAGTAGATAAACATATATTGCCATGCACGAAGTCTGCTGAAAAGAGAGGTAGCACGCCGGCATGAAAGGCAAAATGTTGGGCTCTCAATGCGCGCGAATAAAACCAAACGCCTAGGCAGTATCATTGGCAATGGGAAAATACAAAGACCGACCGCCCATCAACAGTCACATTTTATTCTGGCACGTTCAGAATGAAAGGCATAAGTCCTCACATGTCAGAAGAGGCGTGGAGTCTCAGCAACGCATGCAGCACTGGCCCTCGCCAGTCCTTTCGAGAGGAAGTGACTCGATTCCTACAACCAAGCCCTCTACACTACGCCGAAAAGTGATCGGCAATGGTCCTACGCTGACGCAGCCGGCCCGACGCTGGCGGGTAATTGTTCGCCAGGCGTGAGTGGCGCAGTTGCCACGCTGTAGGAACATAGTGTATGCATGGGTGTAAGAACAGGGGGCGGGGGGGGGGGGCAGGGAGGCCATGACTCCCCACTTTTTAAGGTGGAGGGGTCAGCAGTGATAGCTGCCCCCCCCCCCCCACTTTTCAGATTAAGATTGCGTTTAGCTTGCTTTTGCACCACATTAAATATACATGACGGTTTGCTTAGTTCACCAGCCATCTCCCTCGAGATGGGTAATCTTCTTCGTTCGTGGCCATTGCTTAGTGTCACAACCACTGCCGAAAGCCGCGCGGCCTACGCAGACTGCAGCGTCGGGAGCTGAGGCTGTTATTGTTGTGGCTTGCGAGCGCGCATGTTCAAAATCATATTACATAGTTTTTTATCAGTAATCAATTGTGCCTGAACCTTGAACATTTTAAGACGAACATTGATTAGCATTGTTGATACAAATTTAGGATCCATTTCGGCTACAAATTACATTCAGGGAGTCCTCAATATCTCTGAAGAAAACAGAAAAACACGAAACTGTAGTATACGTGACAAATATTGAACCACCTCCGGCAATCAAGCATGCTGTTGCGCCAATGCGGGTTTCCATGCTGATCCAGGGTCAACTTTGCTGTTCAGAAGACACCCCATGCCAGGTAGAGGAACAATATGCTACGATATATACTTCTAATGACCTCCGGAAAGACCAGGAGAGTCCGCCCCATGTCGCCAGAATGACAGCCAGAGGGCATTTCGCGATGGGACGAAGTGGCCCTGCAGCCCTTGACCGGAACCGATAATGTGCACCTGGTGTTCTACTAAAAGGCCCCCCCCCCCCTGCCCGGAAGGAAATAAGGATTCTCATTATTGTTTGGTAGAGTAGGATTCTCATTATTGTTCAACAGAGTGGGTCGAAGTGAATTCTACAAAATGAACAATGTACACCATGTTTGCCTGAGAATGTTTATTTTTTCAGAATACATTACTGGAAAAAAATACATCAAAAGGTCTGAACATGACCGCCTGCAACCTCGAGAGCAAGGACAGCGATGGCCTCGGTTGCAGCTTCCGAAAAACCGTACGATGTCGGCCACTGCAAGTGTCACCAGACGGCGGGCGCCGCGGTAATCTGTCTCCTAGACAGATCATTAGTTACTGAAGCACGATAAATAGAGATCCTACCTTTACTCTTCCTGTTCCAACACCAGATTTCAGTACCAGTTCGCGGTGCTTTAAGGGCCAATCCGTTTTTATCATCAGTCTGAAAATCGCACACGTGAAATATGCGTCCAAACTGCCCTCTGCATGTAAGATTTCATACCGTGAGGCGTCCAAAGGTTCCTCTTTCTGAAGCGTCATCATTTGCATCCACTCGTTGGCCACAGCTCAGTATAAGCTGATGGGCCAACGCTGCGCAGCCTAGTAGACTACAACGCCTGGCCTCCCGGTTTTCGTCGCTAAGATTGGCGAGCGAGCGCGTAAAAAAATCGCGTCACATAACTTGCATCGCTAATCGGTTCTGACTGAATGTTAAACATTCCCAGGAAAACATGACATGGTACTGTTAATACACATTGCTGACCACTCGATCTACAACCAAATTTTCATCTCTAAATTTTGATCAAACGAATCGATTTACATTCTACCTTCGCGATCCCCTTAAAGACTGTAGAACCCAGCTAAACGATTCTGACAAAGGTTCTGAATTCTGTTGGGTTATGAAAAGACCACTAAATGATGGTAAATTGAGAGCACCAGTGATTTATTCCATGCGGTCGTTCAACGCATGCTTTCTGCAGTATATTGACTTCAAAATACAAACAGAATTGATCTCGCGGTAGCTTCTGGTTTCTTTTCTAGTGCAAGATTAAAATAGCAATGAAGCGATGAAAACCGTACCCCATGTTAACCAGTAAGCTATATACGGGAATTTTGGGGGGTCACCATAAGAGGGCTTTTGTCAACCCTGTGCTCCTCCTTAGCAAGGCTCTGGCTACGCCCCTGCTTACACACAAAAGCAGACCAAGTCATCTACGTTGAATGATGGTCAGTTTATAAATGTTCGTTTGGCCCATTCATACCTAAGAAAGGCAGCTTCTCGGAGGCTTTTCTCTGGGATGGTGTGGTGTAAGGGAAGATTATTCGAAAAAGATACTATTGCAGGTGTCCAACATTACCAGGTGTTTCACACACCAAGTAATAGCAATGCTGATCCAGAAATATGCAACAAAGCAGCCATGCGACCAGTTCACAATCAGTCATGCGGAAGACAGCCGAGCCTGGGCAGCGGCCGCCGACGTCGGACGGGGGCAGGGCTCAGATAAGGAATACAAGCGCTTGCGCGTTTGCTTTGCTGCGCACGATAAGGAAAAGTTAGAACTGTTAATTGTGTATGTTTTGCAGCAGTTTAAGTCGCGGTTCTAGGTGCCCTGGTTGCCGAGATATGGAGCGAAGCGTGAAAGAATCGGCCGCGGGACGCACGCGGTGCCGGCGACCTCTGGCGGCCGCCGGCGGGAGAGAGCGCATTCTGTTTGCCCTCCCTGCAACACAGGCACACATATTCCATGAGATCAGCGATTGATCGCGGGACGTGCCGGTGATTTTTGCCCCTTCCATGAACTGTTCACCTTTGAATGATGGCAGTACGCATTACCGTTGTATTAAACGGCATTGTATAGTACCGAAGAGTGAAAAACGGTCGGTACCGGCAAAATCAGCTTTCCTGGCTCTCACACTCATGCCACAATCTATACCACGTCATTGTCCGCTCGATTCCCCATCAATGCATGCTACTCACGAGGGCGTCCGTGGCCTGGATGCAGAGATGTGACACCAAATGTGTAAAACTGGGGAAAGAAGGAAATGTGTGAACACACTAAAAAAACGCGTCGGTGTGGACGGTGTGGATCGCGCGCGGAACGCCAACCGCCTCGTCGCTGGCCGGCAGGAGGCGTGGCAGCAACGCGCCGCGCGCCAGGCAGCGCTACACCGCGCCAGAGGCACGTTTGTGGTGCCGTCCAAGCTTCACCTGGGCCAGATGGAGGTCGTCTGCACCAACTGAGGCGTGCTGCGCCCGCGACAGCAGTCGCTCGGCGGCTGCGGCAACGACGACAAGGCGGCTCCGCCGTTCCACCCGCGGCGCCTCCAGCCCTGTGCCAGCTGTTTGACCCTGAGCTGCCAAATATTAGGCGCCGGCATCCGGCAATTTGTCCTGCAATTTGAAGCGCAACGGTACATTGTACAAATTCACGATGAGACTGAAAGTATAGTCGCGTCAGTTGTAAATTTTGGGAGACAAAAGCCACGCCTGTGCGCGCACGGCGAACGCAACGCACAGCGCGCCGCCCGCCGCTATGCCTCATCCGAAGACCGCTCCCGCGACACCCACCCACCGCTCAGTGTCGGACAAACTGAAAAAACGCCTGAATGCTCGTTCTTTAATATGAAGCGTGGCTAAATTAAAAACGTCGAAAGCCCGCCGCGCGAACGACCACCAACCTTTAACGCTTCAACCCTTAACGGCGTACGCGGGGAGTCGGGGCGGCAACTTGCCGCCGTCGCGGCGAAAATGCCGTCAAGCAGCCTCTTAGTCTAGGCCCATTTGCAAGCGACATTTTTTAAAATGGGGTAAAAGAAGTGCATAAGGGAAAGGACAAATCGACCGACACGTTGATATAGTTTTCAACGCTAGATCACGCATAGTTTTGACGGCAGCGGCTTGTCTTCACCTTCGGTTTTGAAAACTCGGCCGTTGTAACTTGTAGTGCAATTTGCAGCGCAACGGTGCGTTGCACAAACGCGCAAAGCGCGCTGAAAATGTAACCGCTTCAATTGAAAATGTCGGGAAAGAAACTTCAGAGCTCTACCTTCTTTCCGTGCCGAAATATATTGGTAACGTAAAACCACGTCAAAAACTGGCGGTCGCAATTTGTCAACACGTGTACAGGTGCCACGTGTTACGCGACTCAAAGAACTCACCTGATTACAATGGCCCATTCCATGCGCTATCCGACTGTGCTTGTTTCACGTCGCTGCAACCCTTGGTTACCGAGATACGGCTCCTGGAGGCGAGGCGTGTCGGTCCGTCGGCCGGTCGTCTTACTGAAACTGGTGTCGCCCATTATATTCCTGTGGGATTATTGCGTTGTTTTCGGCACGCGATCATTTCTTCGAAATACGAAAATTTGACGCGACTCTGTCAAGCGCAGCCGGCACATCTCGGTCGTGTGCTAATTTCATGTAAAAACTCATGACCGTTAAGCCTGCAGGTCTTCCGACGGACACACCCACACCTACACCCACACCCACACCCCACACCCACACCCACACCCACACCCACATACCCACACCCATACCCCCTCCCCCACACCCCCATCCCCACACACGCACACACACACACACACACACACACACACACACACACACACACACACACACACACACACACACACACACACACACACACACACACACACACACACACACACACACACACACACACACACACACACGCACACACACACACACACTGTTCCTTAAGTAATATAGTGATGATGATGATGATGATACGACAGAACGCCCTTCATTTTGCGCCTTGGTTGTTGAAGGAGTATCTCCAGTTTTAGTTTCAAGCTTCCAAATTTGTCTCCGCCTTAAATGCTGCGACAAGCCTAATCTCTTGAAAAGCTGCCAGCGAAATGAAGGCGTATGAAAAACCTGTCGCACTGTGAACCATCCATTCATATTCAAAATTCTTACCAGCCTGTGTCCAGGCCGTATTTTGGCATTTACCCTGTGAAGGCAGACGCCTGCTCAATAACCCAAAATGCCTACCCACTCGTAGAATATCGCGTCCCCAAGAAAGAAAATGTAAATGAATGAATAATTTTGGGAACCTGGATAGTCTTGTTTGCCGAAGAACACAGGCGAGTCCAATAGGCAAGATTACGCACCAGTGAAAAACTGCTCAAGATGCATATCTGGCATAACAGTCATGACAGTTGAATGAAGAGCGATAACACCCTCCATCTCCACCCCTCCCCCTGGTCATCGGGCTTGCTTTCCAAAAAATGCCCCTGAAACACGTCCTGAGCTTGGCCCCCACTTTTGAAACGCTCCTACGCCTATGCACGCTTGGCATCCGTTATGTGGAGGCCGGGCGTAGACCTTGACAGCCGGACAGGTCCGGACGGCCCGCCCGGTCCGGCGACTTGGCAAAGGTGTGCCGGTCGCTGAGCCGGGCCATGGCACAGCCCTTGTGGCCAAACTTTAACTTTCATGCGTGCTGTTCTATTGGCATAAAGTAGGCATCATTCGACCGTAAATCTCGAAATTTAGTCAAGGTGACATTTTGCTGACATCAGATTCAGCAACTCGCGCATTATGTACGTTGTCAACTTTCAACTCGTTACGCTATTTCAGAAATTGTCAAACATGCATTTCCTATCGGATGGTGTTCATTTTGTTCACACCAGACGTGGAATATACAAGTAAGAATATAGAGACCTCAGACTGGGTCTGAAGATATTGTACACCAATGCGGACCAGTTCCTTAGTAAAAGGGATGACTTCTATATGGCTATTTCTGACCATAAGCCAGATATCATGCTGTTGACTGAGGCCCTCCCAAAGCCCAGAAGCTTCCTATCGCACCATCTCTCCCATAATTTCCTGGTACACCCTGTACACAAACTTGAATCTATCCCAGCCCAACCTAGGATCTAGTGGTAGGAGGGGCATATGTGTCTATGTGTCGAACTAACTAAACGCAGCTGAGCACTCATTTGGGTCAAGTCCTCAGGAGCAAGTGTGGCTGAAGGTGGCCCTGAGTGGGGAGGGTGCGCTGCCACTTGGCTGCACATACAGAAATCCACCAGGCAACATCCAAGACAGTGCGGGCCAACTGGAAGACCTTCTTCAGAGAGCATGCAGAGCCCAGTTTTCTCGCTTGGATGGTTGTAGGCGACTTAAACTTGCCTCAGATTGACTGAGCAACAGGGCGGTGGCCAGCTCCAGAGAGTCACCCAACCCACTCACTGATAGACACCATTCAGGGCTGTTTCTTGTTCCAGCATGTCCAGCAGCCAACACGCTGCCGGGTTGGTGAAGCTCATAGTGTTCTAGACCTCATTTTCACAAATGAGGAGGGCATGGTGAGCCAAATCAAATACCTGCCAGGGCTAGGTAACAGAGACCATGTGGTAATCAGGTACACTTTGGTCTGCTACCCTGGGCTACAAACTCCTCGTCCCGGCCAGCTGACACACACAAATTACGAGCATCTGGCTGACACCATCAGGTCAATGGACTGGTCCCTGATCGAGAACCTTGGCCTCAAAGATGCTTACAAGTTCTTCAAGGAAAGAATGGCCAGGGCTAATGAGGTTTGCTCCGTCAGGAGGGGTCAGGTCAGATCAGGAGGACTAAACCTAAGAAGAACTTGTACATGAGCCAAAGGGCCGTGCAGTTAAAGAAGACTTAGGAACGACTGTGGCGAACGTATACGCGGACTCAGGATTCTCTGGACCATGCCAGGTTTGTACGCTGTCGCAGTGACCTTCGGAAGTTGACCAGAGACCTTCGGAAAGAGTATGAGATGAAATTAATAGCAGACCTAGACCTCCAAGGCCTTTCGGAGGTACGCCAACTCAAGACTACGCACAAAGTGCAGGGTAGAATGCCGTCTTGACGACAATGGAGTGTTGACCAGCAGTAACGAAGGGAAGGCCAATGTCCTCTGTAAATTCTTCGCCAGTGTTTTCATAGACGAAGGAACTAGTGCCGTGCCAGTATTGGCTTGCAACTTTACTGGCCATTTTCTGGACGACGTAGACATCTCTAACCAGGCAGTGGCAAAGAAATTGGCTGCTCTGAAGACCTCTAACGCTCCTGGGCCAGGCGACGTCCATCCAAGGCTTCTTCGCGAGTCTGCAGATATCCTGGCAGCACCCCCTCAGCATGCTTTTCTGAAAATCTTTGGCATCCGGAAGGCTGCCTCTGGAGTGGAAGATCGGCGAGGCAGTCCCGATGCTCAAGAAGGGTAACCGACAATCCTCAACGAGCTACCGCCCCGTGAGCTTTACTGCCATTCCCTCCAAGATGCTCGAAACTTTCGTCCGTGATGCTTTTATTAAGCACATCCCGAAGTCTGGACTTTTTCATGCAGCCCAGCATGGGTTTCTCCCTAAGCGGTCCTGTATTACCCAACTGTTAGAGGTCATACAGGATTGGAGAGCCGTGTTAGAGGATGAAAAGCCTGTGGACGTGGCGTACCTGGACTTCAACAAAGCCTTTGATTCCATGCCTCATAACCGTTCGCTCTCCAAGCTTCATGCTTACGGTGTGAGAGGTAATTTGCTCCGCTGGATCAGGGCTTTTCTTGCCCACCGGATGCAGAGAGTGTGGATCCAGGGCTCGAAGTCGGACTGGACCGACGTCGTCAGCGGCATCCCGCAAGGATCAGTACTTGGGCCAACGCTGTTCATAATTTTCGTGAACGATCTGTCAGAACAAGTGCAAAGCGTGGTCAAGATGTTTGCAGTGACACCAAGGTGTACTGTCATATCCCGAGGCCCCTGACTAACTCACCTCTGCAGGCTGACCTCGACGCCCTGGCCAAGTGGTCAAAGGAGTGACTGCTGCCCTTAAGTGCAGCAAAATGCGAAATAATGCACATCGGAACTGCAGCCCGAGGCTAACCTACTTCTTGGACGGCGCCGAAATCGCGGTCGAGTCCTCCGAGAAGGACCCCCGGATCTTCGTGGATTACCGGCTCCAGTTCCAGACGACGGAAGCGATCACCAAGGCCAAACAGATTGCTAGCGGTCGTGAGGCGGTCTTTTGCCAACATTGATGCTCGCACGTCGCTATTGCTTTTTAATATCTTGGTACGTCCGTACTTAGTGTATGGCAACGTCATCTGGGACCCGTTCGGCAAACTGGACCAGAAGCGGCTGGGACGAATTCAGCGACGAGCTACCCGGCTTGTCTATGAAGTGAGGTGCCAGCCGTACCCTGAGAGGTTCAGACTCCTTCAGTTGCCCTCACTGTACTATCGTCGTCGTAGGGAAGACATGGTTACAGTATACCAGCTGTTTTACGGAGGTATGTCGCTGTCGGAAGAGGAGTTCCTGACAAGGCACAACTCGGAGGTGACAAGAGGACACCAATAGAAGCTCAGAAAACCACGAGCTAGGGCTTTCGTCCGTCGTAACTCGTTCAGCGCGCGGGTTGTCAACGATTGGAACTCTTTTCCTCACGGTCGTGTCGTCGACCTCAGTTGAACCGTCCACGTCTAGGCTTGATATGCACTAGACTGACATCATGTGCGACGTCCCACGCTGAATCTTCCCTTAATTTGAGACTGTTTGATTACCGGACCGGGAACCCGACGAGACCGGGACCTACAGGCCTAGTAGCCTTTTACGATTCCCGATCACCATAAGGTAAGGTAAGATAAGGACTAGGCCTCATATGTAGCCATGGCCATGGCCGCAAGTTAGGGAGACTCCCTTGAAGCCAAATTTGAATGAATGTTATGGCGCAGCTGTTACGGCCAAATGGCGCATGAGTGAAAACAAAAAGCTAGGAGCAGGGTGCGAAAATATTGCAAATGCGGCAGATGGAGAGATTGTTCGTATTTTGATAGTATGAATGCTGCGGGTCTGAAGGATCTTCGGAAGACATTATTCTGAAGCATTTTTGGAAGGTATGCTTGTGGAAGATGTATAGGTTTGTTCATTCCAAACCTTACACGACATGGGTGGGTAGTCGACATCTGAGTAAAGATATCTATTAGCGCTTATTGCACTTTTTTCCTGTTAGTAACCGTCTTCTGTGTCGAGTTTGGTTAATTCCTCATCACGACCTGCATAGAATGTGTGGTGTGCTGAATGTGTTTAACATGGCAGCGACGTCCTGGCAACATTATCGGGGTATGTGAGACATGAATCTGATGGCCGGAGCTGTTCCATATTCAGCTCACTAATATGTATGTGTCCAGCACTCTGCATGTTTTCTTTGCAGAATGGGTGTTCTGGGGGTTAAGGAATGGAGGTGTCCAAACCTGGGGTGAAAATTGAGGTTCACATAGGCTGCAGTACAAAAACTTTTCATGGTAGAGAGTAGATAACCAGGGCAGTTGGTGTGCCCTTAAAACTTGATAACTAACCAACAGACTATGGAGGAGATTTCACAGCAGCAAAACCTATGGCTGAATTTTGCTTAGCTGCCACCTTGAAGACAAAGCTGTTGCTACTACTGCATGTTTTATATGCTCACAGGGCACAGACAGACCTGTTCCATCCCATGATAATCCTCCCATATGCAAGCCATGGTATCTTGGGATCCCTTAATTCAGAAGTACTTCAGGTGGTTGGATTCAATGCCTCTTGTAGAGATGTGAAAGCTTCAAGTAAAACATCTGAACAGCTTCAGGCTTCTAGAAAATCAGGTCAGCAGTTTACAAGATCTGAAACAGTGAGGGAGCTATGCAATAGCTGCCCACTTACTTGAATGTCAGTATGACAGTCTGAATAAGTATATTTGGGGCAGTTTGGGGCCTATGATATCATTGCAGTGTGGAAGGTTTGGGGAAAGCAGATCAGTAGCTATATAGTTAGGATGCACATTGGTCTCAGATTAGCCATAAGGTAACCCTGTTCCACTTCATGCAGCACACAAAAATTGAATCTTTTTTGTCTGCAGTTAAGAGGCAGGAATATTATTTTTCTGGTGTTCATAAGTTACAAGTATCTTTTGAAGACAAAACTGCAATATCTGTTGTGTTTTAATCAATGTTTCAGTGGCATTCATGTCATTTTTACCACATGATTGCACTTAAATCACTGAAAATTTGAGCATGTCATAGGGCTGTGCATTGAGCTTTTTAGCACTTTGAAGATGCTTTGCTGGTCTTATGGGGGCTGACTAGCACTTTGAAGCTGCTTTATCTCTCTTTTGATAAGGTGCATTTTTTGCTCCTGTTTAAGGTGCATTTCCCTTTGCAGTGCTACAGAACATTAAGTTAGAAATGCCTTTGGTTACAGATCATTGGATGTGGCAGAAAGTATGTGAGATGTAGTTGACATGTGTATCTCATGAAACATACATGCATATCAAAACAGGAGGGCATGGCGATGGAAATAGTGAAGTTGATGTCATGCCCCTATGTCTCACAGTGTCTGTGTCTTGATGATGGAGGAAAGTGAAGCAGATGAGGCAAGTGGGGGCGGAGCCTCGCCCATGGCCCGTCTGCTGCAGACACGGTCATCCAAGGACATCATTGCCTGGCTGACTGCTGGCAGCACCACTGTGAGTCTGAGAAGGACTGGGCTGGGTGGAGGGCTGAGGTACTCCAGACTGGCAAGGCAGGTACCTGGCTGGCATTGGCTGGGCATGTACCCTGTTCTTGTGAATGTTCTGATGTTGCAGTGCTTTGGCTGGCATGCCAGTGGGATGTTGATCAAACAACCTTAGCTCCCCTTGGGTCTTTAGGTGTGGTGTTAGGAATGCCTTGGCCAATATCTATGTTACTGGGTAAGAGCTACATTGCAAGAAGGGTGCACTCTTGGTTAACATGACTCTCCACTGTAGCTGTATTTCTAATGTTGGTCACTTAATGGTAAACATTATGTGTATGTTAAAGGACAAATGTGTGCTGTGTGGTCGTTTCATGTGGGAACGTCTGTGCCTTAACATATCTGATGTTAGCTGGCTCAGTGATGTGTTTTCTTTACAGAAGAAGAAGGACTGTGCCCAGAAGAATGGAACCAACACAAACTCATGGAAAGAGTTTCAGCACATGCGACTCCACTTTGCCACCAGCTTTACTGACTTCCTGCATGCAGATTGCAAACAGTGAGTGTCACGTGCAACGTCCGTTCTAACTCGTGTAATATGAAGGATGGTGCATGCAGCGGTCACTGTTCTGTTGTTAAGCCTTGTGTAAATAAAGAACAATGTTTTGTTGTTCCAGTGTGTTCTGAAAGTGTGCACCATTTTTACTAAATTCAGACGTTGCTGGCCGGTTAGTTTTGCGTCACCCCGATCATTTTGTCGACATGCCGGTTGCTCTCAACCATGCTCAGACCGTTCCGCGCTATTTCAAGCCGTTGACACTGCTGCTGCCCCATGGCGGGCTCGTAACCAGCTGACCCCGTCCGCCAGCCTGCTGGGCGCGGATGACTCGGCGGCGGCGCCTACGTCGGCCGCGCCGGCCGCGGCGGCCCAGCCGGAGGAGCGGCCTCCGCCGGCCCGCCGCCGCCTCAGCGTTGACGCCGCGCCCATCCAAGTGCGCCGCACGGACGCCTCGTCCGGCGGCGGCGGCGGCGGCGGGTCGGAGGGGCGGCACCAGACGCGCGGCGGCGGCGGCCGTGGCAGGCGCTGGGCCGGCGTGCGGCCGGCCACCGAGCCGCGCGCCGCCGCCGCCGCCGGTCCGCGGCACGTGCCGCTGACGGAGCTGGTGGTGCCGGGCGACGGTCGGTCGGCGCGCCGCGGCCGTCGGAGCGGTGCCGGCCGGCAGCCGCCGGCGGAGGGCGCGTCCGAGCCGCCGCCGGCCGACGCCGGTCGCCTGGCGCGGCTGGACGCGCGGCTGGCTGCGCCGGGCGGCGCTCCGCCGGCCCCAGACCGTGCTGCTCCCACCAAGGACGGGTTCGTCACCCCGGTGAAGCAGGTGATCAGACATGAGTCGGGCGGCGCGCCGGCCGTCGGCCCGCCCATCCAGCTGGCCGAACCAGAGCGCGTGACGGGCGGCGAGCGGCTGGCCGCGCTCGCCGCCCTCTACGCCCACCTCGTCGAGCACCACCACCTGCTGGGGCTCTCGATCGAGCTCAACTTCTTAGTGCGCCTGTTGGTGGCGCCCGGCGCCGGCGGCGCCGCGCCGCCCGCCGCCGGCTCTCTCTTCCTCACGTCCGTCCACAACGCCGTCTTCTTCGCCGTGCGCACGCTGTGGCACCTGCGTGAGCAGCTGGTGTGTTTGGACGCGGCCAACCTGCGCCTGCTGGCCGCCAACGCGCGCCTGCTGGAGTTCAGCGCTCCGCTGGCCGACGCGCTGCTGACGCTGGCCGGCGGCCAGCCGTGCCACTCGCCGCCACCGGGCAGCGCCGCCGCCGACGACGAGCGGCCCGACTCGCTGGCCTTCTACGCCGAGCTCGTGTACCGGCCTAACTTCCCCAGCGACGCGGCGTTCAACGCCTTCCGGCGCCAGCACGACCTGTTCCACCAGCTGGTGGGGCGGTACCGTGCCGACGGCCGCCGGCCCGACTGGGACGCGGCAGCGGCGCTGGGCGACGAGCCGCGCGCGCTCGTGGCGCTCTGCCCGCACCCGGTCAACATGCACCACCTGGCGCGGCTGTACCAGGCGCAGCTGCTGCTGCTGGCCGGCGACGGCGCCGAAGCGGACGGCGAGTCGACCGCGCTGCTGCAGCAGGCAGACCGCTCCCGCCTGCAGCGGCTCAACGACAGGTGAGGCGGCCGGGCCGGGCGCCTCGGCGCTCACCGATGCACAGCTGGCTCCCGGTCCGGGTCATGGGCCCGGAGCCTGCTCTGTATCGCTGTATGTGCCGCATTGCCGGGCCGGCGTAGCTTTCACGAGCTGTGGGTGCTTCGCCGTTAAGATCTACATTGCAGGCTAGGTCGGGTTACGCCCGCAATGCGTGAGCGCTGTGGCGTTGTCTGCACATGAGGCCAAGCTACTAAAGCGTGGAGCGTGATGTGTTGTTTAGCGCGACACTGACCGACATTTTGGATCGTGTTGCGATACCACGCGGCGCACCGTGTACACATTGTTACACGTACTATACCCATACCCATACGCATTCTCTACCCCGATATAGGTGCGGCTCGCGGTCACGATAACCGATATCTTTCTGCTGATCCGACCACCGTTTTTGTCAATCAACGAATACGGTGTCATAGGCGTCGCTGACCGTAGGGTAGGCGAAGGCTAACAGCAGACCTGCGGCGGTTTTACATCCAGGCCTCTCATCCTGACCCCAGCCCCCTCCTGACCCCAGCCCCTCCCCCCCATCCTGGTCCCAGCCACGCCTCGACTCCGTTGTCCTCCGTCTGACGGCTACCGCGTGTGGGCGGCAGGTTTCTGAAGCCGGTGTGCGTGGGCCGGGCCGGCGGGCGGCGCGACTTCCCGGAGGCGCAGGAGCTGTTCCGCCAGCTGCTGCTGCGCGCCGACTCGGCCGAGTTCTCGGCGGCGCTGCGCGACCTGCTGGCCAGCAGCCTGCTCGAGCTGGACGCGCAGGCGCTGCAGCTGCCTGACTCAGGTGGGGCTGCGCTCAGCGCCGGCGCCGGGACCCGGCCGGGTATGGCCCACGCGGTTGTGCGCCTCCCCATGCTGCTGTGTGGAGCATCCCGTTGTAGTGGTGGTGGTATTCCCAATTTGTCTTGTATTGCCAATGCAGAGTTCCATTTGAACCGTACCGATAGTGGCGTGGATAGTGAACCGTACCGAAGTCCGTGGTGCGTGACATTCACTATTTTCGTCACGTTTGAACACGCGTCTCGTCATTTGTACGATCAGAAAGCCGCGAGAAGCATAAAACGTTATGACGTGCTCACTTATCTGCCATTGGGACAGCAGTGGTACGCGCGCATGTGCGTGTCACCTGACCAGCTCTGCCTCAAACCCTTCAAATAGTGCCAACTTTTTCAAGCTAGAATTTGATGTGTGATGTGTTAAAAGTGCCGTGCCCCACCAGTCGTTCCCCCGAGGTGCCTCGCGAGCTCATCCATGTTTTCCTACAACACTGCCTGACAGTGAGCCATGTCTGACCGCTACTGCAGGCGTGCTGCCGGCCACGGTGCAGGGGGTGTCGGAGTAGGCCATCTCTGACCGCTACTGCAGGCGTGCTGCCGGCCACGGTGCAGGGAGTGTCGGTGTAAGCCATGTCTGACCACTACTACAGGTGTGCTACCGGCCACGGTGCAGGAGGTGTCGGAGCGCATCTTCCGTCTGCGGCTGCTGGCCAAGTTCCTCGGCCTGGTCACCTTCCGCGGCCTGCACTCGGACGAGGACATCCCCGAGCAGGTGCTCACCAGCAGCGTGCAGATGAGGAACCGGGTACGTGCGCTGGCGAGGTGGTCAGCGCCGACAGTACGTGTGGCGACCTGGCACCGGGACTCGTAATGCTGCGGTGCGCGGTGATAGTATTAAGTAGAAAGAGTATGATGCATCAGAAGCTCTACCGTGTTAGGGCTGCGCGAGACAAACAGAAGCCATGCTGTGGCGGTCAGTTTGACATTGTGCCATGCCATTGATACATTGTACTAACCTGACGCTTGCATGAAGGCATTCGACTTTAAACAACGTGTGTCAGGGTTATCCACAGTGTACGCGTGACTTTGCCGACCCACCAGAACAGCCAGTCCCGTCGGGCGCTGCTGGTATGAGCTGATTGCTTATACACTAGGTTGCGGAGAGCAGCCGTTGTGTTTGTGTGTGTGTATCCTGACGCTGTCGTGTCGGCCGGCAGCTGCCGCCTCCTCTGGACCTGCTGAGCTGCCTGCAGGCGGCCGTGCGCCGCCGCCAGCTGGTGATCACGCTGCCCTGGCTGATCGAGTACATCTGCATGATGGACCGCGTCAGCGTGCTGACGGCCGCCCACCAGGCCGTCTTCAGCCTGCTGGTGGGCCTGTTCCGCTCGCTGGGACGCGCCGCCGGTCTCACGCGCCACAACGCGCTCTTCCTGCGTCTGCAGTACGAGAACCTGTACGAGATCCACTCGCACGTGCAGAATCTGCACGACGAGGGCGACCTGGCCGCCGCCGACCGGCGCCGCGTGGACGAGGTGCGCGCCGAGTTCGGCCGCCTCTACCTCCGCCCGGCCGGCGACGCCGCCGCCGCCGCCGGCCCGGACGGCCGCGAGCTGGTGCGGCCCAGCCTGTTCTACGTGTGCTGCCCGTACCTGACCGAGCAGAAGGTGGCGCTGCTGCAGTTCCGCGCCGGCCGCGCCTACCAGCCGTCGCCGGCGCTGCGCAAGATCATCCCGATCGCGGCGCGGCCGGCCGACGCGACGGCGGCCGCCGCCAGGCAGACGCAGGTACGTCCGCCGCCGGCCGGTCACGTGGCCGCTGGCTGACCCTCCCGAGGTCCTCCAGGCCGGCGCTGTCCGTCAGCTCAGGGGCAGCGCGTTGCGTTACCGTCTTTGATCAGACGGAGCTCTTTTCTCTCGGCTTTCTCCGTTCGTGACAGCCACGGCATGAGACACGCCGTTGGTCGTCGCTGTCACATGTTGTGGTGTGATTCGGCTTGTGTCACATTTTAGCGCGCTGGAGGGGAGCAAGAAGTGACATCGCTTACCCCATGATTGTGTTACCCCTTGCCTCATGGCCATCTCCTCTGTCAGTATAATCTATCGTATTGCGTCCGACGGTGTAATTTGCTTCTCAGGGTTCTTCTCAGGGTTAGTGTCTCCGCACACCTGACAGCAGCCGCGAACTCGCACAAACGCTGACGCCTCAGCTTGTGTCACACGTGGAGCTGGCCGGTGGTCTCCAGCCCCTGTTGACACTCCGCGCGTCTGGCAGGCGGAGCTGGAGGAGGGCTTCTTCCAGTCGCATCACCCGTCGCTGCGGCGGACGGCCGCGTTCGTGGTGGAGCGGCTGACGTCCGCCCTGATCAAGCTGGTCCGCTCCACGCTGTTGCCGGCCGCCACGGCGCCGCTGGTGGCGCCGCTGCTGCGCCAGCTGGCGCTCCGCGTAGCGCGCGGCGCTCAGGACTACCAGGTCAAGGTGCGCACCGGGTCACGGGTCATGCGGCGGGCCGGTGACGGGTCACGGGGCGACCGGTCACGAGTCA